CTGAGGAAACGGAGATGGAAAGGTGAACGGTTTTCTTATGTTTAACAAGCTTTACACCAACTCCAAAAAAAGTTCCACTGCAATGTGAATGCCTCTTGCTTCTAACCCCCAATCATATGGCAATTTCAGAACCTTGGGGAAATCGAGTTTAGGAATTTTAAATCAAAAAAGCAGCCTGACACTTACTAAGAGTTCAACATATGAAAATCACAAAGAGCTAAATGATGTAATGAGCTCACAGCTAGTCCAAGGAGCTCTCTATAAACATGGGCTCAATTCCAAAATTGCACCCTTATGCTCGTCCTCTGAAATACAGCAAAAAACTAAAGTAGACACAATTTTGGAAGTGGGGAGGATAGATGCATTCTTATTGGCAATCAGAGATAAAAAGAACTTTGTTAAAGCCTTAGATTTCTTTTCTGTGCCAAGCACTCCTAATGGAAAAAATGTGCACAGCTGAGATGAAAATCCTCTAGAATTATGCATTCATTTTATTGCTATAAACCAACCACCTCAAAACTCAGTGGCTTAAAAACAACAACAATTTATCACTTCACACAATTCTATACATTGACTACATAGTTCTTCAGCCAGGAGGTGGTGATGCATGCCTTTAACCCCAGCATTCAGGAGGCAGAGGCAGGTGGATCTCTGTGAGTTCGAGGCCAGCCTGATCTACAGAGCGAGTGCCAGAAGAGGCTCCAAAGCTAAACAGAGAAACCCTGTCTCGAAACAAACAAAACTTCTGTTGACCTGCATGGAACTGATATTTGACTAACAGCAGAGCTATGGACTGGTTCAGTCAGAACATATGGCACAGCCAACTTGTTCTTCCTTGTGGCTTTTCATCTAAGCCCTCTGTATTCAGTGATAGTCAAGGGCACCATGTAAAGAGAAAGGAGGCTCTGGAGTCCCCATACTATATTCTATTGTGAAGGAAAGTTATATGGAAAACTCATACTCAACTTTCTGATGAAAAAAAAAAGCAAAATTCTGTGCCATCCTTTTGAGTTTTCTGAACAGACACATACAGTCTTTATTGATCTATTTACTAAAAACCATATATCATTAACAAAATTTCCTGCTTATACAGCTGTTCTCTTTGTCTGTCTAGTCCTGTGACATTTTTCCAACTGCCATCCAATAATAACAGATGAGGGCTCCGTTATTGGCTACACAGCTCTAACAAAACACAATAATAAAAACTATTTCTCAAAAGATAAGAAAGGCTCCCCAAAATCATTTGGTCTACAACCACTGTAGCTGCCCAGACTTTCACATGCATCTCCCCTTAATCCTTGGATTATCCACTCTTTCAACCAATACCAACTCTGCTCTGTATTCAGATATCTAATTTTCTGAATAGCTGGCATGAGAACCCTCTGGCATTGTACAACTAAATATTTCAACTGCACCAAACTCATTTTTTATTCTACAAAACCAGTGTATTTGCCTTATTGTGGTTGTCAAGTGTCAATAACCTTTCTGAACAAGATGCTTTTTCATCCCAAGATTTTTCCAACCCCAGCATCATCGATAAGAATATAACCAAAGAAAAATGTTCAGAGCTTTTCAATCTACAAGATTTAAGATTTGAATCTCATAAAGGGTCTTTTAAAGAAAAAATTTTTGAGGCAAAGATCTTTTTATATCTGACTTATAAGCAGAAATCTTGGGTATAAAAACTGATATGACATTTTATTGTCTTGATTTTAGTTTGGGGGAATTTTTGTTTTGTTTTTAATCTTTTTTGTCATTGGGATTGACTTTCTAGGTAGTCCAAGATGGCCTTAAACTTGATATGCCCCTGTCTCAACTTCCTGGTTGTTGGATGTGTACTACCATACCCTACACTAAATGGAAGAGTTACTGACATATCACACTGTGTAAGTAATTAAAATATAACTATCATTTATAATGTTTACCAAGTATCACGTGCCATTCTAAGTATTTTACATAACTTGAGTCATTAAATACTGTTTTCAGATGAGCAGAATAATGTACAAAATAGTTATAACACATATCAACATTAGTTGCTAAGTAGCAGAGCCAATTTTGAACCAAAGCATCCCTGTCTTCAGGACCTAAACACCTAATCACAGAGTCCTACAGAAGAATGGGAAAACATGAGAAAATGTTTATGAGGAAAACTTAATTCATGAGCAGGTTAAGGTTTCCTGGAAATAAAAAAATTATACTAGACGAAGTCTGTGAACAGACAATCCACAAAAGAAAAATATAAAATGGTATTCAAAACATGAGAGCAATTGACTATTAATATAGCCAAGACAAAGAGAATGATCATGTCTATTGGTATTATGTCCTTGCTTGTTGAAAGAAAAATTGGTTATAAACTCTTCCAAAGTAATTTGAATATGTAAATATATTTGATTGTAAGTATTTAAATATGCATGCAGTTTTAGCCAACCGTTTTACTTGCAGTAATTTCCCCATAAAAATAATCAAATAAGAGATAAGTGTGGTGGCACATGTACCCAACAATCAGGAAACACAGGCAGGCAGATCCTCATAAGTTCAAGGCCAGCCTGGGCTACATACCAAGTTCCATGCAGCCAGATCTAGACAGTGAGACCCATCTCAAAAAAAATAAGCAAAACCAGTAAAAATTAGATGAGAACTTGTAGATATGGGCTAATGAAACTTATTAAACCATTGTTTATAGTATTTACCAAAATATGACAAAATAAAAGACATATTTCTGCTTAATGACATAGAAAAAGGATCATAAGACACTGTTAAGGAAAAGAGTAGGTTTACAAAACTGTATAAGTAATATAATCCCAGTTATAAAATTTACATATATTGAATATATTTACATATTATATGCTTGCATATTATATGCCCTCTCTGGATTTTATAAAGTTTTTAAATGTTTATAAATGTTATATTTTCATTTCGATATTACTTTTCATATATTCATGTGTCCCTTTTCTAATCATGGAAAATACTAATAGCCTCATTTCTAAAAGTTTAAAGAACAGAAACTTTTCTTATATAACATGATTCCTGTGAAAAAAATCTTAGTAAGGAGACTTTTTGCTCCCTATGTCAGTAAACGAATGACTAATTTTGATAGAAACATGGGGAGCACATTAACTGTTACACAGTGAGGGTTGCTGGATAGTATGTCACTGGGTCATGACTTCATGACCTCTAAAACTATATCCCCTACTTTGTCTGCTTTCTAATCACCAGTCATCTGAGAGCTGAAAATAAACAGAGATATGACACATCACAGCTGCCCAGAGCTCATCAGCCAATCCAATTCAGGAGATAAAATCAGCCCAGTAATATATACTTTAAAATGGGTTTGGAGGGATACAATGAGTACCCAAGAAAACTCACTTCATAAGTGCAGGCAATTAGCAGTCCCCACATTGCAGGCTTTCTTAAGCAAAGATGTCACATGCTTAGAGCCAGGGACAGAGAGAAGCTGCAGAATGTCTTCACCTGCTGACTGATGAAAATGACTGACGCTGGGGCGCCAGCTGAAAAATCAATTATTCACATCTACTAGGCAGCTGCCCCCTACACAGCAAGCAGCAGCAGCTCACAGGAAGGAGAGATTGTTGTGGCTTGTTGTTAACATGCACTATCCATTTCCCTGGACTTGGAGCTCAACAACAGCAAAATCAATAGGCTGCTCCAAACCAAAAAAAAAGAAAAAAGAAAGAAAGAAAGAAAAAGGAAAAAAAGGTTGAGCACTACCTGCATAACAACTAACAATGCTGCCATGTACTAATGGCAAGCAGTTCTTATCTCACCACCGTTCTCTTCTATATTAGATGTCTCTTGTATTTCCTAAAGCGATAAGAACCCAGAGGTTTGTGACATTCCTAATTACTAGATTACTTCTGCTAAAAAATAATGCTCTATAATAGACTCATTAGCTGTTTTTCATTATTTCATCCATGTCCTCTCAGTGTCATATGTCCTGTTGGCTCAAAAGCCCTCTTTATGTATGTAAGGCTGTTTTTTCAAAGACCAAACATTATAAAGCTAAGAAGCTCCAAAAACACATCATCAAGGAAATATAAATCTTCTTTAGTCAGATTATTTATGATTGGAGTGCATTTTAGAAAAAATGTTTATTTGTATGGTTCTAATATCTGCTGATATTTATAAATAAAACACCTAACATTATTCCCTTGTTGGAAAATGTTGGGATTCAGAATAAAAATCATTTGGTAGTTTCTCAAAGTTCATCATGTTATTGTCATCCTGCTTCCAGTTGAAATGAAAATTAATGTTCACATAAAACACTGAGCATGGCTGATGACAGTAGCTTTATAATATTTCCAAAGAATAAATAGCTAATTTTTCCCTCACTGTTGGATGGGGGATATGGATAAAATATTGTGCATGAGCAGAATAGAATATTGGTCAGTAATAACTAGGAATAAACTCCTGATACAAACCAAAGGATGAATGAATCTGATATCTTAGACTAGCAGTTCTAATACGGGAGTCATGACCTCTTTAGCAAACCTCTGTCTCCAAATATATTTGCATTACAATTCATAACAGCAGCAAAATTACATTTCTGAAGTAGTACCAAAAATAATTTCATGGTTGAGGATCGCCACACTATGAGGAACTGTATTAAAGGGTCACAGCATTAGGAATGTTGAGAACCATTGTACTGGACTAAGCGATTAAGAATAGACTCAAAAGATAAATACTATGTGATTCCATTCACATGACATTCTTGCTAAATCAAAATTGTAAGAGTAGAAGAGAATTTTGTTTAACAGGCAATGCAGGCGTGGAGAGGAGGAGGCAGAGCACAAACCGCCAGCTGGCAGGAGTCATTTAAAACAAAACTGTTTTGTATCTTTATTGAGGTAGAAGTTTATGATTGCCTGTGTTTGTGAAACTTCACAGGGATATAGGCTAGCAAAGCAAATTTTACTATATGTAAAGTATACTTCAGTTTTCTTAACTGAAAAAAAAACTATGGTAGGTAAAGAACTTCAGGAATGCTCACTTTGGCAGCACATATACTAAAATTGGAAAGATTACACAGATTATCATGGCCCTTGTGCAAGCATGACATGCAAATTCATGAATCTTTTCATATTTTTAAAGGAATTCAAGGAATCCATCTACAACGCCAAAGCACTTTCTTGCTCATCCCAGTACATTTAGCTTGTGTTTCATCATCTTTGCTTAGCCTCCATTCTCCCTGTCACATCTGCAGCTGGAGCAGACAGGACTCTCCAGAATGGATTTCTCCTTGCAGAGCTCTATTACCATGGACAGAACCTCTAGCCAGGATCTAGAGAAAATGTTAATAATTCATGGCTGCTCAAGTTTTAAAGACTTTCCCCCAATAATTTCCTGAAAGAGTTAGAAAAAATACAGGCAGAGCTGTGGTGTGAAGTGATGGGCAAAATTTCAGGAGTTGGATGGATGGAATTTTACTGAATTTGCCACTGCTTTCACAGAATGATCTTCAACAAATGCTTCACATTTTCTATCACCAAGGTCTCAGGAGGAAAAAATACCCAGACCGAATAATTCAAGAGACTTCTAAAAGTGTATGAGCACAGTGAAGAGAATTCCCAGGTGCTGATGAAACACCAGATGCTAGCAACAATGGCTGTACAAGTTTGTACTCCCATCAGCATTGGAGGAGTGTTCCCCTTTCTCCACATCCTCTCCAGCACAAACTGTCATTGGTGTTTTTGAGTTTAGACATTCTGACATGAGTAAGATGGTATCTCAGAGTTGTTTTGATTTGCATTTCTCTGATGGCTAAGGATGTTAAGCACTTTATTAAGTGTCTATCAGCCATTTTAGACTCCTCTATTGAGAATTATCTATTTAGTTGGATCTTTTGGTGTTTTAGAGACTAGCTTCTTGAGTTCATTGTCAATTTTGGAGATCAGCCCTTTGTCAGAAGTGGGGTTAGTGAATATCTTTTCCCATTCTGTGGGCTGCCTTTTTGTCTTGTTGACTGTGTCTTTCATCTTATAGAAGCTTCTCAGTTTCAGGAGGTCCCATTGTTAATTGTTGAGCTCAGTGTCTGTGCTACTGGTGTTACGTTCAGGAAATGGTCTTCTGTACCAAGGTTACCTCCCACTTTCTCTTCTAAGAGGTTCAATATGGCTGGATTTATGTTGAGGTCTTTGATCCATTTGGACTTAAGTTTTGTGAATGGAGATAGACATTTAAAAGTAGTACCAGGCTAGCCATTCTGTTAAAACTTTTATCACTCCCTATCCATCGGGTATTGAGTTCTTAGGCTGGTCTCTAAGTCTATCAGTGCATTAATAGTTCACCTAGAAGGAGGTAGAGAGTGTGGAATTGTGGATACCCTTTCCAATTGAGGTCTTCTTCCAATCTAAGGGTTGCCAAGATTACATAGAACCAGATATCCAATGTAGTCTTTGAATGGTTAGGTTGCTTGACAATTTAAAGACGGATAGAATTAAAACACAGCCAAATAACCAATGGTTAGTGTTGTGCCACACTAGCTTCTAAGTATCTGGTTCCATAGAGTGAGGAACCATTTGGTTTATTTGCCTCACAATTATATGGCAGAGGCTCCATGTCAGTATTCACAGTGTTACATTGAGTAGATTTCTGTTTATTGGCAACATTTTTTTAATTTTAGACAACTCCATACTATGTGCAATGCAATGAATTGTAATATTATTTCCCACTCTATTATCATTCCCCTTAACTCCTCCCTTTCCTCTACCAATCCCTCCTCATACACTTTCATGTTATTAGTCAATGTTCTCTAGTGGAACAGCACTGTTCCTGAATATGTATTCATGGTATCCATTAAAGTAGCTTACAGGTTGTGGCTATGATCTGATTAGTCCAACAGTGGCTGTCTCCCAACAGAAAGGCCAAGAATTTGATAGTTCCTCAGTCTATAAGGCCGGATGCCTCAACTGGTCTTCAGTACATGTTGAAATCCCAAAGAATTAGTTCCTAATACCAATGCTTCAGCAGCAGAGTAGATGGACTTGCCATAAAGAATGAGGGCAATCAGGCAAAAGGCAAAAGGCAAAAGCTTCTTTATTCCATGTATTTTTATGTAGGCTGCTACCAGAATTTATAATCCAAATTTTGTGTGCATCTTTCAACCTCAAAAGATACGATTAAGAAAATCATTCATGGGTGTTCTTAACTTCTTAGGTTTTAGTTGATTCCAGATATAGCCAAGTTATCAACCAAGATTAGAGCTCACACATGCTATTTCTTTCTCTCTTTTTTGGCCTACTAAATATGTGAAATATTTAGAGCCCTCAGTGACCATATCACTAAATAAAATGACAACCCCTCCTCTATGGTACCCATCAATTGTCAATAGTTCTTCAGAGAGAGGGGGCCTTATAAGCACCTCCATCATGATGGATTATTAACCAAGGCCAATCTTTCACGGCCTTGTTCAGACAACCATAACTGCTGTGTGTTCATGTTTGTAGCAACCATTTCATATACAGGCGGCAAAATTCCAAAGCACTAATACCCATCCACATTTCTTATTTTATTCTACTTCCTCTTCAGCTATGTTCCATGGGCATTAGAAGTAACATAGATGCCCCATTCAGGGTTAAGCACTAAACAATCATGCATTCTCAGCACTTTGAGCAGAGTAATCACTGACTACTACAAACAGAGCTTCTCTGTTCAAGGCTAAGAAATTCCCTGGTCTATGGGTATGATCATAATTACTTACGAAGGCAATTTGATCACTTGTTCACTTAGGAAACTATAGTAGCAGATTCTTCCCTAGGGCCTATGACCTCCGCAGCCGTAGACTTTTGTCTCGGTTTTCAGTACCTAAGGTGTTCATCCCCTGTCATTGAATGGATTTCAAATCCAATCAGAAAACAGTTGATTACTCCCAAAATGTCATGTCACTATTCTACCAGTGGGCATATCTTTTATGGAATATTAGTTCTTTAGCCTCAAGGACCACAGCTGGGTAAAAACATTAATGATTTTCTTCCACTCGCAGCCTAAATATCCTTTCTGATGCTATAACACTAGATAGCAGGAATGGAGCTCCCAACTCAGTTTCAGCTTGATTTTTCAATATTATGTAACCAAAGAATGTGATATCCTCAGCAACAAGATCTTAACTTTTAGTCCTTGTAGACAAACAAGAACAATGACAATGCCTTGCATTATTTTGGGTGGCCTCTGGTCAACAATTCATAGGGTATTATCCTGTACCTAACACTGGGATTTTCATTTGCAATCTATGGTTTCTGGGGGAAGCATCTTGCACCAATACATGATAAGAATGTTTCAAACTGTTTTTGAATTATATTTTTCTTAGCTTACAAAGTAGTAAGTTTCTATATTGTTTTTTCATACATACTGAGATTTCTTCCCTGCTCCACCTGTCCCCCATTATCTTGACCCATCTCTGTTTAAGCCTTTCTACATATAATATTCTCCCATATTATTATATCCCAGGTATTTTAATGTCCTCACTACTGTAATGCCTCCTTTGATGGCTTCTCTCAAGCTTCCTGAGTTCTTCAGATACTCCAACTTATCCTCAAAATTCAAAACTTAGGAACTAAGACATGCATATAAGAAAGAATATATATCTTCCTGTGCCTGGGTGCCTCACTGAGTATAATATTATCTATTCATTTTCCTAAAACTTTTATGATTTCATTTTTCTCTAGTGGTGAGTAGAATTCTACTTATGTGCCATGTTTCCACTTTCTACTCAACCAGGAGGCATAGTGGCACACACCTTTAATTCCAGCACTTGGGAGGCAGAAGCAGGAAGATATCTGTGAGTTTGAGACCAGCCTGGACTACAGAGCGAGTTCTAGGACAGCCAGTGTTGTTACACAGAGAAACCCTGTTTCAGAAAAAAAGAAATTCCATTTCTGCTCAACATTTGATAGACATGTAGGCTGATTCCATTCCCCAGCTATTGTAAATAAGTATGATGTGCCACTATCTGTATAGTAAGATACAAAATTCTTTGAATATATCTAGTCTGGTGTTACTATCACAAAAATAATGATAATTCTCTTATAAGCATTACCTTTTGTGTGTGAGAGTGAGTGATATGTATGTGCACATATTTGATTACATTTCTGTATAAACTCCTGTATACATGTAGAGAAGGCATTATATGTATCTTGTCACTCTACACTTTATCTCCTTAAGAAAGATCCCTTACAGAACATGGAGTTGCTTTTTGTTTAGCTATATCATGACTATGAAGTCCAAATTATCCTCCTGTCTCTGCCCCAGTGCTGGAGATAAAGGTATGGTCAGTCACAGGTAGCATTTTTATGCTTTTTAAATATAGGTTCTGAGGATCCAAAAATCAAATCCTCATGACTTCATATTAAGCATTCTTGCCCACTAAGCCTTATACTCAACCTCTATTCTCTTCTTTTTAAATTGCTTTCCCTTGCATCTGCAGCTACTTTCTTTTCCCATCTTTCCTATCCTGACCTTATAATGATCTGTGGCTCTCAAAATTATCATTTGGTAAGATAGTCATGGCTGGCTAGCCTTCCTGAAATTAGACTTGGTTTAAAATCATTTCTTTTATCTTTTTGTTGTGAACCAAAATCATTTCTCTCTAATGAACACATAAAATGCAGAAGACTGAGACATATCTGAATTTGAGACAAAAGTTGTCAAACACCAATAATATCACACTTGAGGAAACAAGTTGTTTCCCAAAGCAAAGATAGTGAACAAGGGAAGCAACTCTCCATCACTCAAAATTTTCTCAATGGGAAAACTAAAGTTCTGTTTGATGTCTTCCAGGAAGTGCCCTCCTTCCAAAAGCTAACATCTACTTTATGTTATCCCATACTACCCATGAAGAAGGTTCTAGTTAAGTAATTTATTTCATTTCAATAATTGTATTGAAATATCATTTTGTAGATACTTACCAAATGTTCAGCACAGATCCCTTACCTCCAAATTTATGCTACTAATTACATAATTTCAAGTTACAGTTTCTGAATTAACCTCTAACGCTGGTGATAGTTTCTCTCACATAATTATTCTATATTTTATTATTATTCCATGTAATCTATCTTAAATAATTTTGGAAGTAAATAATCTATAAGTAAAT